TTTTTTTTTTTTTTTTTTTGCTTTTTCTTTTTGTGCACAGGTTTCTATATTCAGCATTAGGAGTATCTGAAAGCAAATTCGGTCGACCTGAGGTTGGAATCCTCATCAAAGTCAACCAGTACTTTTCATTAAACCTTATTTACATATAATTTCATATAAAAAGTCGACTTACAGTTTATTTTCACAGCTCAGCTGGTAGAGCATTTCATACCGATTTTGCAAAGTCTGAGGTTTGAATCCTCACGTGAGTTAACCCAGAAGTTTTTCTTTTCATTCTGTTGTAGGAACATTTTGTAGAGATGTTGAATATATTGAGGTTTGATTCCTCACGAACTGAGATCGAATCCAGATTTCTTCTTCCTCTGCCCCGCTGGTAAAGCAGATGGCGAAGTTTCAGGGTCTAATGTTCGAGTCCTTATGATTGATGACCCAGTTTTTTTTTAAATCTCTTTTTGTGCACAGGTTTTCTATACTTTAGCATTCAGAGTATCTGACAGACAGGAATATCGGTAGATTTGAGATTAGAATCCTCGTCAAATTCGACCAAAGTTTTCATTTCACACTATTAACGTGTAAATTCTTACAAACGTCGACATACATTTGTTCTCAGCTCAGCTGGTAGAGTATTTGATACCGATATTAAAAAGTCTGAGGTTTGCATCTGCACGTGAGTTAACTCGGTCATTTGCCTTTCTACTTTGTTGTAAGAACATTTTTCGACGATTTTAAATAAAATGAGGTTTGAATCCTCACGAAATTAGGTCGACCCAGATTTCTTCTTCCTCTGCCCCGTAAAGCGGATGGCGAAGTTTCAAGGTCTAAGGTTCGAGTCCTTATGATTGTTGACTGAGATTTTTTTATCTTTTTTGTGCACAGGTTTTCTATACTTTTTCTACAATGCATGAAGAGTATCTGACGACGAAATCGGTAGATCTGAGGTTGGAATCCTCATCAAAGTCGACGAGAACCATCATTTCACACTCTTAATATGTAAATTCTTATAAGGTCGACATAAATCTTTTCTCAGCTTAGTTGGTAGAGCATTTGATACCGATATTGCAAAGTCTGAGGTTTGAATCATTACGTGAGTTAACCAAGAAGTTTGTCCTTCTACTTTGTTGTAGGACCGTTTTGAAGCCATTTTAAATACGTTGAGGTTTGAATCTTCACAAACTTAGGTCGTTCTTAGGTTAAACTTAGGTTGTTCTTCCTCTGCCCAGCTAGTAAAGCAGATGGCGAAGTTTCGAGGTGTAAGGTTTGAATCCTTATGGACCTTGATTCTGCTCCGCTCATAAAGTGATGCAAATTATTCCGAGAAATAATTGATTTTGGACTGAAGTAACATGCACAATTAGTTCATGTAGCCCCTCTCAAGTTAAGCTCTGAAAGCTTCAGTCGCCATTATTTTGCTCTGCTAATTCTAATATAAATATAAAGAGTTTTTTTTTTTATTATGACTCTTCAATTAAGAAGGAGATACTCTTCACCCGGCTTAACGGCTTTGTACTCCTAAATAAAAGAAAGCAAAAATTAAAAACATAAAAACAAAAACGATGCGAGCTTATGCCGAGGTACCAGAGGGTGAGACCGAAGTATGGGCAATCTGCACTGCACCTCTCCTCGGGACGTGAAAATAAACAAGCACTGAGTGGAGAGCACGAAACTCTTCCACCAGCTGGGATCGCCTTATATGGGCTGACTGCTCGAGGTTCGATTCCTCAGTAGGGACTCAAATTATAATGTGTTTTCTTTCACTATCCTATAAATGTTACCATTTGTTTTCTGTGATCCAACTTGTCCCCTGAGAGTGATACGGCTTTTACTGAAACGCGCTCCTTGGGCTGAAAAATGAAGAGTACATTTAGTAAATGACTTGTGCTGACTGACTTTCTCTTAGAATAGAGGTTTCTTAAACAAACGCTCTCTATCTTATAAATAATTGAAAGCTAAACATTCGAAAGAGAACGGAGGCTTCATGAGATAAACTGTATGAATCATTTCTAAGAACTGTATAAAGAGTAGAAATATGTTTTCATCAAAGCTTTCAAGCTATTTTCTCTACCACATGAACTTGATGTCAGTGTAAACTTTGCTTCACTTGATCAATAAAGTGCAACTACGATTAACTCCATCAAAATTTTTTGCTTTTTTTTTTCTTTTCCCACAGCATTGTGTCACCTGAAAAAGGGTTTTGACTTTTGTTTTTCTTCGTTTCTGTTTTCTGGAGAAATGTTTGTTCTGTAAATGTATTTAATGATAGCCGCTGACAAAAGTGCAATCCTCCATAAGCTTAAATAGGAAAAATTAATTACAAACAAAAATCTCGCCTCTGTAACCTCAGAGGTATCCATATTTCATGACTTATGAGAAAGATATTTAGCAAATTTAAAGCAAAAATAAAGATTGAATAGGCTACTCTTTGGAACCTCAAAACGTCTTTTTTTGTGTGTGTTTTTGTGTGTATGATTATTGATGACAGAGATAAAATTTACACGGTTTCTGAAGTTAGCTTCTCCATAGAGAAAAAAAACTTACATTGCAGTCTGTTTGGCTTTCTTCAAGAGAACCTGTGATGTACATTCATTTCTAATCTTTGTCTTGCCTCCTTTTTCTTCTGACAATCGACGATGAAAATAAAACCAATAGCACATCTTGTGCGAGTGACCGAGAACGTTAACCTCGGTCGCATTCTTTCCAAGTAAGGAGTGTCTGTTTTGGTAATCCCGCACAGTGATTCAGTGATTCTGTTCCAAAAAGAACTGGCTATATCCCGCTTCTGATAACCTACTACAAAAAGAAAGAAAGTACTAACTGTGCAAATTAGAAATTTCTTTTTAGCCATCACAATTGCGAACATATATTTTCACGAAATGATGATGACATTGGTGATAGACAAGATAAACGATAATTAGCCATTCAAATGCATCTACTATGTTTCTAGATAAAACCTACGTAATGTTGTTTAAAATTAAATGTAAAAAGCGCGATGTTTCTAATGATATCGAAAGCTAGGAAACGTTAAGAAAATTAATACCTGTTTTGCGACAAAAATTTTAAATCGTATCTTGTCTTTGTGCCCTTCTAAAGTCGTATTTCTCACGCTTGCTTGCTATTTCTCCGGTGTGAAATTTCATCATGCTGCTACCTTTTAAAAGTAATAATTTCTTTTCCACGTTGTCACCTGGAGGTCCTGTATTTTGATGAGTCTTTTTCCTCTCGTGTCAACCGTTCTAACCAGTGACTCAAACCAGCCAAAGGTTGTTCAAAGTTGTGAACCGTTGATATGTCAGTGAAGTGAGCATCCAATGTGTGATCAGTTCGCTGACATTTTACCGTAAAAGCTTTGATCAACTCGTCGAAGTCTCCTTTTGGCTTTTCAAAACTGCACAACGTGTTTAAGCTGCCTTCGATAAACAGTGACAGACATCAAATGTAATTGCACCAAGAAGGATTTCGAGTGAATCGTCTCAGTGTCATGAAGTTGCCAACCACCGTTAAAAATTCAAAAATTATCACTTTGGCTGAGTTGCGCATGCCTATAAAGAGGTTGTTGGAATTCAATTAATTTACATTCAAAGGCGTAAAATAGTTGCATACACCAACGATCGCTCCTTATGAGAAATTCCTCCGCTGCAACAACTTTTTTTTCTTCTTTTGAATTTGCATATGAGATAAAATTCTTCTCTGCTCTGGCCTGGGTGACAAGTTTTTTAAGCAAGGAAAGCTTTAATTGAATTATGTCGGCCGTTTGAGGTCTTGTAGTCTGATTATCCAATTTAAGGTTTATGTGCTGTAGTCAATTGGAAAGAACTATTGCAACGATACCTACTCATTCTTTGCCAACCTGAGCAGAAGTTATCATCAGAGTTTTGCGAGGGTTGTTTTTGCCTTTATTTGTTCTTGTTGTTAACTTTTGCCTAGGATACTTGAATCGTCAGCCTCTGTTGCCAACATTCACTTTTCAGAAATGATCTTAGAATAAAACAATTCACTGTAAAATGATTTCGTTACTTCATTGTTTCTTGACTTAGAGTAGCAAGAGTTCCACACATTCATTGATTGCCGTATTCTCCTTGTGACCTGCACATTTTCTGATCCCTCAATTTTTCAGCTAGTTGAAGATAACAGAATGTTTATGAGATTTTTTCAGTCATTATTTGATCAGAAATCATGTCTTCCAGCTCAGGGTGAAAAGAACTTAATGTAAGGTGATTAAAGAAAGAACAGTAAAAGACAGTTCGAGAGTCCTTGAAAGCCTTTCGTTGAGCATGATGCAGTCCGCAGCAACTGAGTTCCTCCGACTTTGCAACCCAACATACTTAGCGAATTACATCTCAACGACGGTTTGTTTTCCGTGGTCATTTGAAACTCTATTTTCTTTCGTCCAATTTAGTCTGTAACCATACTCGTGATTCACAAATCGGACTCCCGCTTCGCGGTCGTCTGATTTTGTTAATCACTCGTATGATTACAGACCGAATTGGACTCCACTCGGCCCTATTACCATTATTAATCTTAGTTTTGCTCGGCGTGTTTGGCAATTAGTTTATTCAATTCACACCACTGGTCTGTGAGTTTCCTCTTTGTTGACAAACCTTAGCGTTTCCCAGCCCTCCATAAGATTGTGAGATTTAAATTGTTGATGTAATATCATATTTATGTTTCCGAGTGGGCTTCTAGATTCGAAAAACAAAGTCGAAATATACACTTTCGCTCGACATGCTCAATTTCTATTTCAAACATTATGATTCAGGAAAGCTTTAGAAAACAAACACAACAAAATACGATACTTTTTCATGTGTGTTTGATATCACCAATCAGCTGCTGATTGGTGATACCTGTGGTCAGGTTAATGAATGAACGGCGAAGCCCTCTCGATTCTCAATACAAGGTAATTTGTCGGAACTTCCTCGGATTATGGCGGCTAGAACGTTGCTAGAACATCCGTATTGCTCAGAGAAAGAAAACCAACATACGAAAACCAAAAACCGAAAGTTACGCATTCAGTGGCTTTGGTAGTGGCGTTTCTCGCCGCTGAGAACGAAAGTTGATAACCGGAAGATTTGCCACAAGCCGATTTTGCCGTTTACCTGAAAGATTTCTTCGTCAATAAAGTCAATAAATGAGAATCTTGTAAATTGAGAATTACGCCCATTGTTGTTTCTGTATTCATGACTCAACGCATTTTTCCATGTTGAGCCGTAGCGCCAACGCACTGTACGATTGTCGATTCCTATATTTTCATTCATTAAGGAAGTCGGCTTTTCTTGTCACTTAAGGGTGTTTTATTTATATCATAGACAAAAATAATAATACATGGTTGCTTGTAGAAATGAAATTTCTCTTCTCGTGTTCAACTCGAAAAGAAATTCCATATCTATGCGCGCCCATGTAGTATGCTCTATTTATCAACTGAGGTAATAACGTCAGTTGGCCACCGTAAAGAGTTTGAAAGCTGACGTTTCGTGTGTCTGATACGTTGGCTTTTAAACTCTTTACGGTGGCCAATTTACATAATCAACTCAGTTGATAACACTTTGTAATAATTAAGAGAATCTTTATCAATATACCACATGCTGCTGCTTGCAAATGAAACTAGACGGCGATGTTTGTTGCTACGGTTGGTTTTCAATGTAGAAAGTTAATAAGCTATTTTACCGTTTTCATGATAAATTAGCTCTATTTTGGATTCTTCTTTCGTTATTAGCCCTGCACTATAGGTTTAAACCAACTTTCATGAGGCAGATCTCGTGGCTTTACTAAAAAATACATTTTAATTGAGCTCTAAGTGAGAGAAACGCCTGAGAAAAAGTCACGAAGT